ATCCATGGTACAGTAACTGCTTCATTGCGAAGCTTACATACCACACTCATGTCAAGGTCAATGTTCTGAAAACAAACCTCACAAGCGAGACATCACTAATCACTGCAGACCACAGCAAACTGCAAAAACCAACACCAATCTTTAACCTGTACAGGAAAAAAAAGAGCACTATGCAGATTATACAAATCAATATCGAGAACAGAGAAACCAACATTGTGACCCACCACTATTAACAGATATAAGTGCCTTAATACACTCCGGTTAATCTGTTATTATCTTAAGCCCTTCGTGCCCCATGTTGGGTGCCAAAAAGGACTGTCGTGGTTTAACCTCAGTCGGCAACTGAGCACCACGCAGCCGCTCGCTCACTCCCCCCCACCCAGTGGGATGGGGGAGAGAATTGGAAGACCACAAGTGAGAAAAACTTGTGGGTTGAGATAAAGACAGTTTAATAATTGAAATAAAATGATAATAATATGATAATAATAATAATACACAAAGCAAGTGATGTATTACTTGGGGCCCCGGGGGTGCCCCAAGCAGCGGCCCCCCCGGCCAGCTTCCCCCAGTTTATGTACTGAGCATGACGTCACATGGTATGGAATGTTTCTTTGGCCAGTTTGGCTGTGCCCCCTTCCCAGCTTCTTGTGCACCTGCAGCCTTCTCAGTCGGTAGAGCATGGAAAACTAGAAAGTCCTTGGCTAGTGTAAGCATTACCTAGCAACACCTAAAACATGGGTGCGTTATCAACTTTGTTCTCATCCTAAATCCAAAACACAGCACTGTACCAGCTACTAGGAAGGAAGTTAACTCTATTCCTGCCGAAACCAGGACAGCCAGAGAGCAGGTGAAAGGAACAGGAGACACAGAGGAATGAAAGATTAGGTTTTGTGTTTTTTCTGTTCTACACAAAAAAAAAGACCAGTCAAGAAAGATCATGGGATGTAATTCTAGTTTACAATTCGTTTATATGTGAAAGAATGGCTTGAATACAAGTATTCAATGTACTTTTTATTACTTCTGCTTATATAATAAAAGTTTTCTGGTGTTATTTGTAGGTTTTTTGAATTGCTTCCTGAAACTTAAAAGATGAGTAGCTTCCTGTCTGTTTAACTATTAGGCTGCTTTACTGTACTTTGAAGGAGCATACATGTGGATTATGCATGTTGTTCGTTGCCATTATTTAGAACAAGATTTTCTTATCTGCCATCACAAAATAACCTAACCAATGAATTCCGTAAATATGATTTCTTTTTCTGATTACAAATAAAAATATTTAGTCTGTGATTAGATTTGTATTCTTTTTCCTAATATTTTCAGCTGACACTAATAATACAGAATTTGAATCTTGAACTTAAGGATTGGATAGTTCTATGCTGTGAACGTGAGAAAGTCATCTGTAGTGTGTAACTTTTAACTTTTTTACAGGGAATTCAACAGACAAACCTAGTAAATTATAACGCATACAGGTTTGTAAAATCAGTACATCTTTGGTTATAAATGAGTTGGTGTTCCAGGTCTGATTCTGAGAAGCTGGAGTTCTTGTGCATTGGGTTAGAAGAAATTGAGGTGTTTTGTTTTTCTGTGGTTTTTGTTTGTTTTCATGGGACATTAATATTGTGTTTTTATGGAAGTAATGATTAAACTATTCTGTCCTATCCTATTGCTTTGTTACAGATCTATGCTAGCATTTGTTTGACTATTAAAATAATAAATTAAAAAAAAAACCAAACAGATTTAACTCAGTATACCAGGCTCATGATCAAGCTCATGTCTCAACTACTTTCTGTCAGTGTTTCAGGAAAATATGTGGACTACTAGTTTAAAAAAGAAAACACACCTCCATCTGTTCCTCCCCACCCCAAATTCGGTGGTATGAATACATTTGCAAGTTTAAATTCAAGGTAGTTTTATTGACTCTTTTAATTTTCTTTCTGAACAATGCAAGACATGCTTTTCTAGCTTGAATGAACTGACAGTGGCTGGTTTTACAGTTTGTGATTGGTTGGCAAACACCTCAAGATACTGCTTGTATTTTGAGGTGCTAAATTTCTCCTTCACAGTTCTTAAGATCACAAGTCCAATTATGAATTCTACTTTTGGGCTTGGTCTCCCCATTTGACAGCCAGAGGTTTGTGAGTGTGCCAGTGGGCTCACCAGGTGATAGCCCATTAGAAAATTTCTGGCTTTCTGGAACAAGGAGGGAGGAGTAAGGCTGGAGGAAGGAATGAAAGCTTCCAGGCTGATATCTACAAGTGGTTGGGCTTAGTAACAACAGTTGCTATAGCAGGTATCCTTTAAAAATAAAGTCTTTCATTGCTGAAGTGATGGGAGAAATAATACTGTCTGGCCTACATCAAAGTTAAGACTATTCTAATCATATTGAAGTTGATAGGAGAAACTCCTTGTCCCTACCATCTCTTTTGGATACCTTATATATAAGGTGTATATATATGTCATAGTTGCACAACACCCACTTGAAGGCATCTTACAACTGTGTATGCTGTGGGACATTCCTGAAGTTTACTTACCTAGAGGAATATGACCATCCTTCCCCCCCCCCCCCCCCCGCGAACTTCGTGTGCAATATACATTCTGGTGTTGAAGAAAAGGAACTGAGAAGTACTGTTACACCGCTTCTTCTAGGAGTGGACTTAGTTTAGATAGAGATAATGTGTCCCTTCTATACTCTTTTCTGGAATACTTTTACTATGAAGTCAACTTCCTAATTCCTAATTTCATTAAGGTCACTAAATACTAATCTTGGATTTATTGGAAATAGTACCTTCACAGTTGGGTTTTTTTTCCCTGAGCTGTTTCAGCTTTATGGTAAACTCAAACATCATTGAAATTATCAGTAAACATCTCAATTTTAATTGAGTCCACGCACACACACACAAAAAAATAATCTGCTGCATTTTAGGAGAACCTCGTCTGAACGACAGTGAGTGTACCTGCAGCATATTCTATTTGTAGCTTCCTTTGCTGGGAGTCACGCTTGAGACATGAGTGGAGAACAACACATGGGTATAGTAGGATGTCCATTTCCATGCTTTTTAAGTCAATATCCTGTGATTTGTTTTTGGGGAGAAATGACACTGCTTTGTAGCTTTTCATGCTGGGCATCTGTAAGGTGGTATCAGTGACTCCTGAAGGAATTCGTAGGCTTTTGTTAATTTTTTTCCAGCAGCACCAAAAAACCTTCTGGCTGCCCTGCCATTTTCAGTTCCTGGAGCATACATTCATGCTTTTTGACAAAATAAGCTTAAATAAAATAAAATAAATGCAAGCTAATCATGTACATCTATTCTTAGACCCTCATAGTGATTTTTTTTTTCTGTCTTGCTCGTGGCAGTCCTGATGACAGATGTGACCTGTTCTTTTGCCTTCATTTACAGACAGCAGTCTGTGATGCACTAATTAATTTGGTGAATGCCTGTATGTAGCTGTGTGTCTTAAAGGATTTTCCTTTTTCTTGATAATTGATTGCACCATTGTTCTTAACAGCTGTCTTTTCTTACTCTCACTCTTCTAGCAAATGCCAGATGTGAACGTAACCTGGGATGGAGAAGTCTGCAGGCAGCTGCAGTCCATTGACATTTCTATTGCTGTGGCAACAGACCGAGGTCTCATTACACCAATCATAAAAGATGTTGCTGCCAAGGGAATAAAGGAAATTGCTGCCTCTGCAAAGGTAGGTCTTAAATGTACGGTAGGCTGAGGAATATAGTAGCTATATAGTTTTTTGTAGCAGAAAACGTAGCATGACCCAGATACACATCAGTAATAAGAAAGGCAGTTTCAAAATGGATCTAAAGTAGTTTCAGCATTCCTTAGACTTCAAAATTATTATTAATTTTTCAACTCTGTTAGTTTTTAACAATAACTTAGCCATCATGTTATTTAGTTGAATGCTGGCTAGACTGTTTGAAAAATATACCTGTACAGATTTCTGCAATTTAATATAATTGTATTTCTTTAATCCTCATGAGAAAGCTAGATAATATTAATTTCTTTTTAGTATTTCCAGTCTTTGGGTTTGAGATTTTGTTTGTTCGGGAGGTTTTTTCCCCCCTTTGCCAGAAATTTGCTTGTAGCTGCTTGTGTTACTCTCTGTGCAGTTACATCATGGCACTTATTTCTGTCTGCATTTTTTCAATATGTGGTTCAGTTGAGAATGTCACCTGAAAGGTAACATTAAACTCCTCAGATTAATGAACAGTATTTTGCATAGACCAGGTGCCCAGTTAGTGACTTGAATGTGTGGCAGTTGTTGCCAGTCACAGAAGAAGTATTTTGTGGCAGGCAAAAATACAATGAATGATGAAATGTCCCAACACAAGCCTTTTTTTGTTATTTAATGAGTGCTAATCAAAGGCCTACGGTATCTGAGGAATGCAATAAAAGTAGCTGCTAGGGCACAAAACTGTCCCAAAACTAGACACATGTTGCACTTTGTAAAGTTTTGTGTTTTACTGAAAGCTACAGAAGTCATAATTGTTGGTGGAGGGGAACAACCAACAAAGCTGTAGCAGAAAAAGGTGTAGGTGTCATGCCACAAAACATGCATAACTGGATATTTTTAAGATTTTTCCAGTCCATATTGCTTACTTCATGTTGAATGTGTTGCGAAAGCAAAGCCTTTCACTAATATAATAGCCAGCCAAGGAGGGAGGTCAGCTGAGATTGTTATATTATTCTGTGATTAGTGATAGAATGACAAGAAGAAAAGCATTATGAGGAGTATAAGTTGTACTTTCATTATCATCCCCAATATTTGTGATACTGTGATGCAGTATTACAAACCTTTCTTACCATAAATTAGTGTCCTGCAGTTCCCATGATGGGAATGTATGCTTGCATTATGCTTAATAGGACTATGATAAAGTAAGCATTCCCCTTTCATTTTAAATGGAATGTGTGTAACGTAGGTCACACTACCCAATATGAAAGTCATAGGGTCACATAGATTGCAGGTGTCCACACCAACAAAATTTTGCTTTTCAACTTCTTCACTAAATTATTGAAATGAATATGTACCTGACCTACACATGTGGGAGGCACAAACTGAAACTTCAGCTGCTTCTCTACTGGTCTCCCTGTAGTTTGGCAGGCACTTTCTTTGTGTAGATTGCTTATATGTCCCCTTCTGCTGCAAGTTAAAATTAACTTCTTTCCAAGTCATGTGCATCCTAGCACCATATTTTCATCATTCAAATAATGCAATTGCACATACGCATTACGCTCATATTGACCCTATTGTGTGAATGCTGTTACCATGGCTATTGTCTTCTGGTTCACTAATTATTCAGAGATGAACAAAGGCCTAAAATAAAATTCACTGTATCCTTTTAACTTTTAAATTCATAAGGGTGTCCGTTTTGTAAAACTTGGTGTAAGCTTGAATTATTTAGTGGGCGATTCATTAGAATGAGATTCTCTTAAACTTCTTGGTGTTTATTTCTAAGTCATTGCAGTCATTAAACTACCGTGGCCTTTCAGAACCCTTGCCTGAAAGATGTTTAGCAATGTATACAGGGAAGACAGTTGTTTACCATGACCAACAGTTATATTACAACATGAAAGTGGATTAATCCACGTCACAACTATAACTACTAACCAACTCATTGTCTGTGCGGAAGTTTATCTTGTAATGACTCTACCTCCACCCGCATGCAAACAAAAAGAAGTCAATTCAATCATAGTTTCCACTTGCTGACTCTGGTCCTTAAAGGCAGGGGCGAGGTTTCATAGAAATTACGTCTTGGTAGATTGAATTGAGTGTTTGACAAGGTATTTATAGAACACATGTAGAAAATCCCTGGAAAGTAGAACAGGCAATTCCTGGAAAGCAATCTAGAAATTAAAAAAAAAAAAAAGGAAAAAAAAGTCAATTCCTAGAAAGAACATGGAAAAAATCCTAGAAAACAGTGGTAGAATTCCTAAAAAGGGGGTGGAAAGTTCCTAGAAAAGAGAGGGGATTCATGGAATAATCTTCTCCAAGAAAGTTTCACAAATGTGATGTATCACTTTCTTCATGTTGTGGTAAAGTAGATTTTTTGGGTTGTTTTTTTTTATTCACTTACACCGAAATTTCCCTAACATAATTAAATGATTGGAAACTATCATTAGTTTTATTATTTTTTACCAGAAGAAGGAAAATATAAACAGACTGTGTTGCTTTTATCAGTCTTCCCAGAAGCAGATCTGAGTCTATTTCCCTGACTGCTTTTGGGAACAGTTATTTTTGTCTTAAAATGTCATAGTGCTGCAATTGTCACAACATGACATTTTCCATGCGCTTTTCCACCTGCGGAATAAATACGATACAAGCCAAAAATGCTAAATGTATTCTGTATGAATAGGATAGATCATCTGTCCTACATATATTCGCACTTCAGTCTCTGCTGTCAGTTGAACAGCTCCTCATTTTGAAAAGGTTGCTACTAATGGAGAAGTCATCCGACGCATTTCCAGTCACCGCCTTTTCCATTGTGTATTCACAGGGTGTTAGGAACGGGTTGGTGGCTGAATAACTGGCTCTTGACCCACCAATGAGTGCCATTTCTCTTGAGGTCTACACAGTCCTTTCTTCCTTATGTGACAACTACTGTAAGAATTATTCATTCTGATTCCCACTGCTTCCATCTAAGGGGACCTCTGAGCTAGAAACATCCTAGGTGGGGATAAGGGTTTTTTTTCTCTGTGATCTTATCTTAGAACATAGTATGAACTTCTTGGGCTGTATTTTGAACAAAACATTTGTGGACAGTTTCTTCTGTTATATTTAGAAGTAGAAAAGTCTCACAAATGAAATGGAGGTCACAAGAAGGGTGGTCTTTAAGGTAGTTGAATGCTTACTTGGAAGAAATACATTCTCTCAATCTGCTAGAAAGTTCTGATGTGGTACATGGCAGTTTCTTTAAACAAATATGTTAAGAATACTGTGAATTTCTCATCAGTACTTCACTAGATATTTTTATCATCTAAAAACACTAGGGAGAATGGTGGTTCCATTGTGAAAACTGGGGCAAGGTTTGTAAGGTGAGAGAACAGCTTTTATTGAACAGCCAATATTGTTGGAAAATGAAGTTTTGTGTCCTAGTCTTTTTGCCAAATCATTGCAGCTACAACAACGATGTTGCTAAGGTGCTACCCTAAATCCAAAAGCAGATGACTTTTTAATGGCTGTACGGTACTTATAATGTCTTACTGAAGTAAAAAGAATGTCTATTACAACACTTCAGTTTCTTTCCTCTCTCCTTCTATTTTCCCCATAGGCTCTAGCAAAGAAAGCAAGAGATGGAAAACTGTTGCCAGAAGAGTACCAGGGAGGATCTTTTAGGTAAAACTCTCTAGCAGCATTTAATACGTGCAGTGTGGGTTCAGAACTGTTTTATCCCCAGGTATTCCACTGTGTGTTAATGCATTGCCTTGTAAAATCTTGCTCCATTTAGGATGAAACTCCATGTAATGATTCTGAGGGCCAGACCTAGGCCGAGTGTCCTGTATCAGGGGGAAGCAATTACCTTGGTACAGGTCTATTTCATCTGAGCCTCATATGAAATTCATGTTTTTCATACAGAGACTAATCTGACTTTTATTTTTGAACCTAATTCTTCCCAATTGCAGAAGAATTTTTTTTTTTAAATTGCATTCTGTGGTTAGGAAAACCCATTGATTATAGTTTTACAATAAATATTTTAAAAGGAGTTATTTGGCAGAGGTATTGCTGCAGACAGTGATGTCCAGTTTGTCTTCACTCTTCAGAGGAATGTCTCTAGAGGGGCAAAAAAAAGTTACTGCAAAGTTGCAGTGTTAACTCTTATAGTTTACTTTTAACTGAAACATTAAAAACTGAGTAGATCAATTTTAAATAGAAAAAATATTTACTAAATATATGCTACTATAAAATATACTCTGCAAAAAGAGCTACTGAACTCACTGGTGAGAAATAAATGGCATGTGTAAAACATTAGCATAAATATAGGGACACAGTTGCACAATTAATTTCTCAGCTGACTTTTACACTCCCCAAGTTTCTGAAACTTTTAATGTACTGTATTTTATGACACAGTATGATCAAGCAACATTTTTTGTTATATAAACTTTAGCTTAGCTCACTTTCTGTCAATTTTTTAAAAGCTAATTCTGAATGCTTATCTGTTCCAGAAGATATGATTTTTTGATGAGAGTAGTACTACAGACTTCTGCAGAAACATTGCTGTAATGTATATTAATGTGCCTGGCTTGCAACTGTCTGGAGTATGTGGCTCTTATGCTGGAGGAGTGGTCAAAAAAATCTAAGCCTTTCAGTAGAAAAAAATGTATGGAAATGCAACAGTGGAGGCTTGGATGTCTTCATCAACACAAATGGCCCCTGAGTGTGTATAACTCTGGGCATTTCACTGGTAACAGATGGCGGTAGTAAGAACAGCTGTGTGAGGTGTGATCATCCACTGATGATCTGCTCAGCTTGGTGGCAGAGCTACGAGAGGAAGTAGAAAGGTTAAGGAGCATCAGGGAGTCTGAGAAAAAGACAGGCTGGTGGACCCATGCTCTGCCCTCCCTGAGACACAAACAGGAACAGCCACCAGAAAAAAAACAAGATCAAGGGGATCCTGTATCCTCCCCCTGCCAGGCAGAAGGCAGTAGCTTAAAGGAAAGGAGTGAATGGAGGCAAGTCCACGCTCAGGGCAGCAGGCGAACACCCTGCTTGCCACCTCGTCTTCCCAGGTGCCTCTGTACAACAGGTATGAGGCTCTGGATGTGGAAGGCCAGTCAATGGATGATGTGGATGATGGTCCAGCAACACCAGAGGTGTTGCCAAGATCAGAAAGGCCTACCCCCCGTATCATGACCACCTCCACGAGAAAGAAAAGATAGGTTATAGTTGTAGGCGACTCCCTTCTAAGGGGAACAGTGGGTCCAATATGCCAGACAGACCCTCCTTTTAGGGAAGTCTGCTGCCTCCCTGGGGCCTGGGTTGAGGACATGACTAGGAAACTTCCTAGCCTCGTATGGCCCTCGCACTATTACCCATTACTGCTCTTCCACATGGGTGGTGATGAAGCCGCAACCAAGTCCAAGGGCAATCAAAAGAGACTTCAGGGCCTTGGGACAATTGGTAAGGGAATCTGGAGCACAGGTTATTTTTTTCCTCTCTCCTTCCAGCTGCGGGCAGTGACATTGGGATTCACCTTTCTCAAAGGGGGAAGAGGGTCATCGCTCACAAGCAAGCGGGGCTCATTGACAGAGCTTTAAACTAGACTTAAAGGGGAATGGTGTTAATATCAGGCTTGCCTGCGACAAGCTGTGGGATGACATGCCAAGGTTAGAGGGATGGGGTGCTAACGAGGGCCCTCAGCCTGTTGCTCTGAGACATACTGGCTACACTGGAGCACACTTGTCTTACAGAGATGAGCCAGGGGCTCCTGAGGTAATAGGAGCCAACAGGGAAACACCAGTGAAATACCTCAAAGGAGTTAAGGGGTGTTCCTCTAAAAAGGTGACATGGCCAACAGCCCAGCTGAAGTGTCTCTACACCAATGCACGCAGCATGGGCAACAAACAGGAGGAGTTGGAAGCCACCGTACTGCTAGAAAGCTACGACCTAGTTGCCATTAGTGAAACTTGGTGGGACGAATCCCATGGCTGGAGTGCAGCTATCGATGGCTACAGGCTGT